GGATGATATGACCCGCTCAGACAGATCTACTAAGCGCGCCACCTTTCTGGAATTGGATCGCTGCAGGATACAAAGATCCCACCGCAGTGATGCAGCCTTCAGTGCAAATTGCCGGCATCATATCCATCAGACGTCGAAGTTTCTTCATCAAAAATCCGTCTCCTTAGCTCAATTGGGAGAGCGCCAGACTGAAGTCTCAGTCACTAAATCTGGAGGTATCGTGTTCGATCCACGAAGGGGACAACGTGCCTGAGTTCGCTCAGGATTCTTCGAACTTTCTTTTTGCGCTTGCGTGAACCTAGAAAGACCGCGTTGCGCAGGGAAGTGCATGCCCAGGTGCCCTGGAATCTTTCTGGCGTTGCCCCTTGACTTGCTTTTTTGCACGTGCACCATTGCTGTGTGACCCCTGTCGAACGAAACCACTGTGTATTGGAACAGGGTGAGCTGTCAGTCGGTGTGGATAGCGATCGGACGCGTTGGTGGTGGAATGGAAGGATTGTGGTCAGATAAAGAGAAAAGGATGATGAATAAAGGCTATGCTACGCTATGGTACTTGCTACTAAACAAATCAAAAACCAAGGGCCAATGCTTAAATCGTCAGAAGCGCGATGCTTACTCCGCTCCTCTCGCACCACTTGCGTGCATGTCCGCGTCAGTGACAGGCACACTCTCCCTCCGCAGCTGCTCTGGAGCTCTCGCTTCGTTGCCCTTCTTAATGCCTCTCCCTCCTGGGGTCAAGAATGTGTTGTCCAGGTTTGGTAGGTCCTCACCAGGAGTCGGAGACCAGTGCTTGCTCTTCCATGGTGTGACGTGGAGAATGTACATGGTGTCAATCTCCTCAAGAGTACGGCCGTGGGATTCGCAGAGGAAGAAATAGACTACGACTGCACCAGTGAAACAGCAGGCAGCGAAGACATAACCGTATCTGTAGTCGATGGCAGACGTAATGTAAGGTGTGACTGAGAGTGGTATTAGTACAGTCGCGGAAAGACGTGGATGAAGTAGTATTGACTTACAGAAGGAGATGAGGAAATTCCATGTCCAGTTGCTGGCCGTTGCGAGAGCCATTGCCTTTGCACGGTATCGGCTAGGATAGATTTCTCCGATCACAGCCCAGATGATTGGCCCCCATGTCATAGCATAACCAGCAATGAAGAGGCACGCAAATGTGATCATGGCATATCCAACGGGCTGGCTCGTAGTACCGTCGCCGTTATCCAAAGCGAAGTGTCCAAGCGATGCGAAGACGAGGAAGCACATGAACATCCACAAGCCTCCAGTGATCAATGCAGGTCTTCTTCCGAATCTCTCAACAATGTAGAGACCAGGGAATGTCATGCCAAAGTTGACTCCTCCCAGGATCATAGAAGTGACGAACGGGTCTTCAATACCGACGGATTGGAATATGGTAGTTCCATAGTAGAAGTAGCTACAAAGAAGTCAGTACAAGATGTGTGTCAATGTTCGGTATCGACTTACTAGTTAGCACCCGTGAGCTGCTGAAGGGCTTGCAGACCGACTCCAAGAAGCACACGATACGCCATACGTGGTCCTGTAAAGATCTCGTACCAAGGGTGGTGACCTCCTCCCGCTTGCTCAGCCTCCAACTTCTCCTGGATCTCCCGGACTTCGCGCTGGACCTCTGGGTGTTCCTGGGGGACACCGTACGTGATGGCGATGGTGTGTATCGCCGAGTCAACCTTGCCCTTGCGGTATTCCCATCGTGGAGATTCCTGCATAAAGAGAATTCCGAAGATCATGAGTGCTGACCAGATGAAACCAACACCCATTGGAATCTTCCATGATGCTGAGCTACCATCGGACTTGGTACCGTAGTTGATACAATAAGCCGTAAAGATACCGAGGGTGATGAAGAGCTGGTAACAGGAAACGAGTGCACCTCGGACGTAGCGAGGTGCAGTCTCGGATTGGTACATGGGCGTAAGGACCGAAAGTGCTCCTACACCCAAGCCTGCGACCCAACGACCAAGGGAGATCTGGTACCATATGTTCGTTGTAGTAATTTGTACGATGACTCCGACGCAAAAGATGATGTTCCAGAAGACGATGGAGTATTTGCGACCGAATTTGTCGGCGATAGGGGCCGCGATTAGAGCACCCATTAGGGTACCGATAGACAGCAGTGCAACAATCAAGCCAGACTTCCAGTTGCTGAAAGCGCGCTCGCCTGTTTCAGGGTCCGTCTGATCCGCGAATTTGTTCAAGAAATCGGGCATCTCCAAGAACCCAGAGATTTGACCAGTGTCGTATCCAAAGATGAACTAGGGGCTGTTAGCTGAATACCTGCGCATTCGTTCATTTGATACGTACACCACCCATCGACACAATAATCGCCATGGCAATAATGCGCATTCGGAAGATTTCTTTGACACCGCCCTTCAACATCTGCGGCTTCTTCTCCGGATCCTGATCCATCATCGTGGAGGATGCAGGCGAGGCATGTGAATGCCCACGGAATCGATCGAGTATCGCCATAGCTGGTGGAAGAGAAGAGGAGTGCCGATCGAGTGTGGAGGAGAGTATCAAAAGAACTCTGGGTCGTGGGGTCTCCAGGTCCCTATAAAGCGCCCACGATTGCTCCGCTTTTGGGCACTTGGAGACCCCAATGCCGTCATAACGGCATGATTAACCGTAAGTCTTCACCGCGTTCACCATGACTACTGCGCAGTCTAGCAAAATCCAAAGGCATCCCGTGGTCGTGCGCCGTGCGGTTGCCGACGTCATGGTTTGCGTGATCCAGGGCGGCCACTAAACTGCATCGCCATCGACGACCCTGGGCAATCAAATGCTTGATACAGTCAAGCTATCGGCAAGCGCTGCGGTCCTAGTGGCTGCGGGCACACTCCGGGAGCAATCTTAGAGCCTCCAAAGCTTGGCCTATGCTCTTTCCCCCGGACATCAACGTCGCAGAACGTCATCTTCACTTGGACATGTGGGGTAGCGCAAGAGCCGTTGTGTGTCAGTTGAGTTGTTGTTTGGCTATCGTCCCATCGGAGCCGGGGTGTGCCGATATGTCAGCGGAGGCTCGGACTTGGCTGTGTCGTGGGAATGATGGTAGGTGAGGATGATGACAATGCGCCGTAAGAACTACAGCCAGCGCTGGCTTGGCAACCGGCGCGACGATCATTCAATAATAAATACCAAGCAACCTAACTCGTCACCTTGATATTTTAAATCCTCATCACAGGATACAGGCAGGAGTACGCATACCACGATACGCATCGGACGAACGTTTACGGAGCGGATCTTGTCGGCGTTGTTCTCCATTTTTTCTTTTCTACGGCCCTTCGATACATGCGTACTGTGGGTCACGATCGCCACACCACAGGGCTCCCACTGCCGTTAAGAGCCTCCGGATTTGAAGAATTTGAAAGTACCCAAGTACCGGTACCTAAGCACCTACGTCATCTCGCTTGGTCACCCCTGGGCATGTTGTTCACGTTTCTAGAGTTCTAGCCTCTGCGGCCCAGCTACCGGATCTGGACCTCGATATCTGAAGTTCGAGAATTGCGTTCTGCCGTAAGCTACTGCGTTGATGACAATAGCTGTGAACTTCGTACGGGAGTGCGCATGTCCAGTGCATCAAGAGCGACGACCGATCATCGGAAATTGTACAGTCTATAGAGAGCGCTGTTCCAACATTGTTAGGAGCGACTGGGGAATGTTGAAGGTCTTGGGGTCAATGGTTTCGTGTAACACACGCATACTTTCAACGACAGCCTGAGCACTCGTTTTTCCATGAGTAACAAAAGTACATAAACTGTCCGCTGTAGTCGTTCCTTCTTCTTTCACGTTGACGCTAAAGTATACATACACCCTTCGCATCGACAGACAGAAACCTGCGCGCCAATCGTACCTGTCATTTCTACCGATTCCATCAATAACATCAGCTGAGTTGTGACCAGACTGTCGAGTGGCGAAGTGACCTCACCTCCGTGCACGAACCCGTTGCAAACCAAAATCGTCATCTCCTGCTGAGAAGAACACCTCGTCTGTGCGATACACTGTTGAGAGCGGGTACACGATCCGTGCCTCTCCAGTTCCTGACGTGGCGTGAGCCAACCACTTCCTATCTACCCACACAACAAACGAAAACTGTCCCGATACGGCAACTGTACTGAATGAGTGTTGATCGTTGGTAAGAGACACGGGTACGGCTTCCGATTAATTAGAATTCTACCCGGTTAGACATCTGTGGGTAGCGTACCCGAGACATGGTTTCTTCTCCAGCTCGATCTAGTTGGAGTCAGTTATCCAACTGTACGACTACCTTTCTCACCAACGCCATTTGCGACTACAAAAAACTGTTGCTGTCATTATTCTTACTATATACATCCGTTCGAGGGGAAAGATCTATTCTCGCGGATATAAGAACCGGGTATAGCGCCGCCTACCGATCAAACCTGGGAAGCTATATATGATACCAGCCCGTGCATCCGTATTGGCACATTCTAGTCCTGGTCGTACAGGTCTTGAGTGCGTACCACAATAGGCAATTTCGCAGTTCGGACCGACAGGCGTCGAAACTAGGCGTCAGACACGGCTACATTTGCCGGCGAGATACGCTTCATGTAGTGTACCAAGGACTCTATCGGCGTTACTGTGACGCTACAGTGGCTAGTTACAACAAGGAAGGGAAAGAGAACGACGGAGTTGATGAGTCTGTACGGGCTTGAAGTTCATCGTTGGATACCGTGGTATATATGCAAAGATTGCAATTTTATTACAGCTATATGAGCACCGTCCATTCCGACTTCAGACCAAGGAAAGACTACTGTTACCTAGTGGCCCCAACAAGGAGTCGAGACATCCAGACATCGCGGTCGACGATCCTCAGCATCCGGGAGGAAAGCATAGAAAGCACATGTGATACGAACGCCTTGATTTTCCTTTGAGACCTACCCGTACCCACCCAGAGAAAGATGCAAGTAAGTAGTATTGAGGCACCGTCGCAATGCTAAAGGTCATTTCGTGAAGCGTTAATTAGGGTTCGTCGTGTTGTTGAAGGTGCCCGACATGCCTCGATTGGGCATGGCAGGAGCGTTGTTAGCAATCCCTGATGACGGTACTCGCGTCATAGAGGGTAGCGCAAACGGTGGGGCCGGTGCAGGAGCTGGAGGCTTTCGAGGTAGATGTGAAGGTGTACCATACTTTGCGATGCTGCTTTGGGATGAACCCGGGTCACCAGACTGAGAAGCAGTTCGGTTCATGGATACGGCTGAGTTGTTTCCCTGCATACTTTGAGGCGACCCAAACGGCGGTGTGGAGACAGCGGAAGGGTTAGGTCTTGACATCTGTCCAGGCATAGAAGCCTGGGCAGACATTTGGTATCCACCATAGCCGTTCATCTGAGGCTGTCCCTGCATCATGTTTTGTTGCATTCCAAAGGGCATGTTACGTCCACCGGGCACAAAAGCTTGGGTTTGCGGGTTGAACTGACCCCGGTTATAACTTCCAGGAAGAGGGTGCTGGTTGCGGTTGGGCTTTCCGTTGTACGCATTTGAGGCGAACTGTCCATATGGGTAGCCAGGCATAGGTGCCTGGTGAGGTGCGGACATTGGCCGGTTGCCGGGACCATTTTGGGCACCATATGCGCCTTGACCCATATGGAATGATGGCTGCTGGTTTGGTTGAGACCAGCCTGAGTTCATAGGCATATGTTGAGGTTGCTGATAGGTATCTTGGTAAGACGCCATCTGTGGATTGGCCATCTTTGGGGTGACCTGGGAGGGCATACCAGCGTTCTGGAACGATGACATACCCCGCTGGAAGTCCGTTGATAGATCATACCCATTCGGCATCTGTCCATAATTAGGGTACGTCATCATCGACCCATTGGGAGCCTGGTACTGCTGACCAGCCCAGCCATACTGTGACTGCGCTTCCGGGGGCATCATGCCCGGATACGGGTTGCTGTATGTTGCCGGAGGCGATGCGCCAGGGTTCATAGTCGCATACGGCGCGTTCTGGGCAGGTGCTGGGTAGCCGTTGTAGTAGACCGCATTGTCTCCAGTATATGTAGCCACAGGGTACTGTTGCGGATAGTAAACATTGAAGCGGGACCGAGCCTGGAAGTCGTCGTCGTCGTAGTTACGCTGCTTCTTGAGTTTCTTCTTCCCGGCAGCTGAACTTGATCGTGAGATGTCCTTCCCTTTTTCTTTGTCCTCTCCAGATCCGTTGGCTTCGGCCGTGCCGGGCTCTTCACTTTCCGCACTACCAAATATGCGCTGACGAGCCTCACGATATCGCGCCTCTCGCTCCTCTCTGGATAGAGCGGCTTTGTCTTTGTTGCCTTCACCATCGTTGCTGCCCTCGCTGCCACCCATTTCAGAGGTCGTCTTCGAGGCATTCTGCGAGTTAGCCCCAGTGTTTGTACCTGATTTGCCATCGTCGCGACGCATGATCTTCCGAGCAGGGAGCTCTACGGGAGGTGTATTGGTGCCCTTGGCGGGATCTACCATCTGTGAAACGGGGGGAGGACTACTAGTCGTAAGCAACAGAGCACGCGAAGCTTGATGAATACATACATTCTACAGTAAGGGGTACGTGTAATTTTTACACCCGTCATGGTGTTGTCAACTACATGGCCGAGCAAGTAGTAGTCGGCAAGACGATGAGCAAGCATCCTGTAAAATGTATTACAGTTCGGCAGACACAATTCGTTTTCACTGCGTACCGTTAGTAGGAAGTTCTGGCAGATCCGCCACGCATGACATACCGAGAGTCTTTGATGAAATCAATGAAGTCTTGTTCTATCTTCACAACGAACAGCCGATCACGTGGAGACCGTAGCGCCTCGAGCAACTTCTCGTCTGGAATGGCGGGCATGTTTGGAACACCATTCAGTGAAGGCATGCCGTTGACAAGAGGCTGTGGCATGGGCCCCGCGCCGTTCAGCGACTGGTTAGGGTCGTACAATGTTTGCGGACCATTGGGTAGCGTCGGAAACCGACCTGCGGGAACCCCTCGATGGGGTTGAGGATTCATCACAGCTATTTCATGTAACTGGTCCCGAAAGGCACGCGCAGCGCCATGATCAGACCCCTGTCTGGAGTCTGCAACGACCGAGTCAGGCGGGGACGTGACGTCCTCTTCCTCGACTGCCCTGAGGCTAGCACTGTCATCCGGGCGTAAGGACTCCTTCTCGTCCAGTGCAAATGTTGTCGCAGAAGCAACGCTCTTTCCATCAATGCTGGGAGGTTTCCCAGATCCATCTGATGAAGATAGCTGAGTGCTGCTGTCCTCGGTGACAGACACCTTTACCACAGCCGCAGACTGAGGCCTGTCGGGGACATCTCCTTTTGCATCCGTGGAGCGTGTTTCTGAAAGCTCAGCATGACCTGTCTGTTGCGCGGGCTGCGATATGGCATTTTCAGCGCTGCTGCTCGCATCGATATCCTCTCGCCTTTCCGCAAGTATTTTGGGTGCTACTTCGCCATGCATGGGTGTGGCGCGCGCCTTCTGGGCGACTGGGGGTATTTTGGGTGTCGCGACAGGCGGTCTCGCTTTCGGAGCGGAATCCTTCGACATCTGAGGCTTTATGGCGGAAGCCGCGACCTAGCGCTGTTAGCACACCGCCCATGGAAATTGCTTGTTGAAATCCTACCTTGGCGAACGACAGAGGCCTTGGAGGCGCTTGTTCTGTGGAAACCGGTGTCGCAGATGCCATGGCTGTGAGGCGATGTTTGGTACGGTAGAAGACTAGATAGGTGGTAGGTTGCGACGTAGATGGCCTATGCGCAGTGCGCGGTAGGTGCCCAAACGCGGGGACGGCGAAACGGGCTTTCAGGCAGTCTCGTAGCAGTAAGGCTGCTGAATGAAGCGACAGACGCCTGCTGGTGTAGCCGAAAGAATCACCAAGCTCAACGCCGTACGTGGGTCGTCGTGGACGAGAATGAAGGTGGTGTTAACCGAAGTGATGGACGTAATTTTTTTCAGGAAATAGGGTGCTCAAGGAAAGTCGCGATAACCGGAGCCAGAAAGCTGGACATGTTGGTGTGCCGACATTCGTGGGAAAAGTGTAGAGGTGTATGGGTTTGCTGGGAGCCAAGGTGAAGTAGCCTTGACGACAGGCCTGCAACGACGTAGTTTGGACGTCTAGCGTGTAAGAAGCTGCCAAGCACCCAGGTGTAGGGCGCGAGACAAGAGACGACGGGTGAATTGGGTCGTCGACGGGGAGCAGTACAGGGCGGGCGGGGACCGGGCTGGTATGCGGGGTGCAGCGCAAGGCGAGTGAAGGATAGAGAAGCGATGATGGAAGCCGCCCGTGGGCGGGCTTAGTCATGCCGCTCCGCCCAATTCTCCGGCCAAGCTGAAGCTGCGCCTTACCGCATGCGACCAAGGCCCGTCGCGTTTCCTCGCCGAAAGTGACAGAAGAAGATTGAACTTGGCGAGGCTTGATTGCGTCTTTACCGGCTGCTGCTCTGACGCAAGAGTCGCGTCGTGCTCCTTTCCCTCCATTCCCACCAGCAATACCAGAGGACTTGGCCAACAAAAACACCCTCTGGATTCGACTTGTACCGCATCCAAGTCCGCCATGTTCCGCCGCCCGGGTGCAGGCCGCTCCAAGGCTTCCGCAGATACTCTCTGCCAGAAGTGCTTGAAGAGAGGACACTACAGCTACGAGTGCAAGGCGCCCGCGCAGGAACGCCCGTACAAGTCTCGGCCTTCTAGGACACAGCAACTACTCAACCCCAAACTGCAGCCTAAACTCACCACCGAGGTACCCGAGGACCTGCTGCGCAAGAAGGGCGTCGCCGATGAGATTTTGAAGAAGAAGGAAGAGGATCGCAAGCGCGCGCGCTCACTCTCTACGTCGTCTGCCGACTCTGTCTCCACCATCTCGACCAACCGCTCCCGTTCCCGCTCGCGATCTCCCCCACGACACAAGCACAACGGACGAAGACATCATGGGGACCACGACAAAGCGCTGCGGAAGCGTAGCAGGCGCTCGGTCTCTATGGACTCGCGCTCTTCACGCGCATCCGACACTGCAGACAGGAACACACGGCGGCGCATGAGCTCCTTCAGTCCTGGTGAGCGAGGCCGCCGAAGAACCAGATCCAAGTCAAGATCCAGGTCAGCGCGCATGCAGATATCACATGAGAATGCCAGGGGAAGAGCGCCGCGAAGCATGAGTGATAACGACAGGTCGCGGAGCAGGAGTGCAAGAAGAGACAGGCGGCGACCAGCTCGACGGTCAGTCTCAAGATCGCGGTCGGGGAGCGCGGATCCCATGGATACGTCAGACGAGCGCAACCCACCAAACGGAGCCCCAAGAGGCCAGCCAAGCGTCTCGCATTCAGTACATCGTGAGCCTTCCAGGTCACTCTCGCCATACCATAGCAGTCGCGATCGCAGCCCGAGTCCCTACTCCAAGCGCAAGCCTGTACGCCGATCGCGTAGCCCACACGAGGCAAGAAATGGAGGACGGGCCCGTGACAGTCCGCGTGGACCGGCAAGAAACCGTTTCGACGATCGGGCAACCGTCGCGAATAGCAGAGTTGCGCCGCCGCCAGCGCAAGCACCCCCACCCTCACAAAGAGAGCGCAGCCTGAGCCCATACAGCAAGCGTTTGGCCTTGACCAAAGCCATGCAGTCAGGGTAGACAGAACAGGGATTTTGTTATTTGGGCAAATGGCCAAAACTGTATACCGGCACTTGAAAACTTGCATTGAAAGTAGACGGTGGGCAAATGACAGTCGTAGCACAATGGGTCATAATGGGCAATCAAATTCGGAGGCACGCCATCCTAGGGAAAAACTGAACAGCCTGGAGCCTACGTTGACGTGAGGTCACCTCCTTTGCAAGGTTTTGGGTCAATGTAGTCTGCAGACCTGTTCAGTTTTTCCCTTGTATGAGGTGCAGGCGCTATATTGGCTTCTGTGGGTTGGGGGTCTGGGACTGGACCAATTCTAAGCATTGTGGGAAGGCGTTTCTCAATAATTTAATTGCCAAACGAATAGAGTCAAATAAGCTTTTGCATTGTTCTTCTCGATTCTTGATACGCCTCTTCTTTCTTTTTGTTCAAATGACTTTTGTAGGATACCAATTCCTTCTCTTATCACCTGATCACCATCCCAGTTCTGTGCAAACTTCGTCCCATGTCTTGACATGCCATCTGCCATATCAACTCCCCCCCTTCAAATGTCAATAAAAGAGCTGCTCATGGTTAATTACCAGACGATTACTAACAACATACCGAATTCTAACCGTAGCCCTTCGTCGATGAAAGGCTACGGGTTGTATGAACGATGCCTCAATTGCGTCACCGAGGATTCTCAGTTGAATCCGAAGACCCACTGGCGTATCGAGATAGGATCGCGATCAGACGAGTCCTGCGTGATGTTCTCTTCCATGTAGTTGACGACTGCGGAGGGCGACTGTCCGTATACCCACTTGAAAGCATTTTCAATTATTCCGAGGTCATCATCCCCATAACTATCGTAAATGAGGAATCTCGCTGCGAAATCGTTCCGAGTCTGTTGATGTTGGATATATTGTCCAAACGTGATGTTGCAGCGTTCCCGGATTTTTCCAAAGTCTGCCATGGCCTTCAGGTAAAATCTCCCGAAAGCGAGCGCTTGGCGGCTCATCAAGTCAGCGCGCTGTATCTGTCCGAGGATATTGCTGTAGGCGGCCTCAATAATGTTGTGTACCAGTTCCGAATCCGTCAAGCTTTCTAGACAGTGCAGGGTGATATTGGCGCATATGTACAGCTTCATGGCGCAGTCCACGATGAAGGCCAAGAGCACTGTATCAGGCTTGTTGAATCTGCCATGCTCGATTAGCCCCAGTGACCATAGGGTCTCTTCAGACGAAAACCATGGTGTACCGTAGGGTCCTGGTCGTGGCATGAAGGTGTTGATTGAGGGTACGTTAGGGGCGCAACATAGGGACTGCACCCTCGTACCATCTCTGGAAGACCTCCGGGCTTGCTGATTAGAAGTTCCGAACACCATGGCGTGATGACCCGCTCCTTCCTGGGCCGATTGCATGTGGAAGCTGGATTGGTGTCGACCTGCGAAGAACTGACCTGGCTGAGGATCTGTGTAGAAAGACATACTGAACGATTCTTAAGGAAAGACGACAGTACCCTTGCGATATCGGAAAGCCTTTATACATGCTATCGATTATTATCTGTTCACTTGCATCATTGGTATTATGGTTCGACTAGTGATTTTTCTTGGGGTGCATGGAGAACCTTGGTTGACGCGAGCAAGACACGCAATACTCTAAGAAGATACTGGAACATGATGGCCCTTTGTACAAATCAAGATGTGATATGAAGTATCTCCCGCGGAGTGTACATAATGATGATGAGTTGTGTTGTTGGCCAAACCCGCCCGAGGTCATGACGCGAAGACGGACGGGAATTGCGAGCTAGATAAGCCGCTAGCGCGCCAAGCAAATTATTTGTGCCATTCAATTTTCTCCGCGAAGCTCCTGCTCTTCTTTTCTTCACATATTGTCAACGGTCTCCAATAACCCTAAGGTCCTTCCTTTACAAATGGATTTGCCTTTTCCAGAGCAGACCCAGAAGAAATGCACAGCCGTTCTAATCCTGCAACTCGTCCACGTCGACTTCGGTCGGTATTGGGGTTGCGGGTTCGCTTTAGGCCAACATACTTCGTTGCGCACCAATCTCAGGGGTCTTGAGACCCTGATGTCGACGCCGCCGTGATGGAGAGATGTAGAATTCATGGCGGAGATGATTCCCTGATGATTATTATGCGTGGCGCTGGGGGCTATATGCGTTGACCCGTCACCGGTATCTAGGTCCGCCCCCATCTACTGGTAACCATAAGCTGCATGGAGCTGGAAAAGGAATCAACCTTTCGTGGTGATTGGTTTGCTGCTGAAGTTCGTTGTCGTGCGGATCTAGACTGTTGGGGTCAATGGCTACGAGTAATGCTGGAACACCCAGCTGAAAGACTCCCCGCGCCTCCACCCTGTGTCACTCCACAAGAAGCGAGATACGCAGCTTCGCATTGGCGGACAAGAGAGCGGCTGAGAAGCGGCTTCGGATTCAGCCTGAGTACGACGCCAGACCACTGGTTCCAATAACGGCATTTTCTTAACCTGTTGCTTTGATTCGGTCGTCCATGCCACACGCGGTATTCGTCGCAGCAGGGCACACTTGGCAGGTCGGCGCCGCATTTTCGCTGACTCTAACCCAGACCTATGTCTTTCTTCGGTCAGACGCCTCTGTCGGGGCCTGCAGATCACTCGTGTTTCCTATGCTGTGACTTCATTGGCGACCTGCGTCCCACCGCTGCTTGTATGGCTGACAAGAGGGTCGCCTAGCAATATTACGATGCAGTCAGATCGGTAAACCGGATTGCATCCCAACGAAGTGCGCCGCGAACGACAATCGCGGACCTTCCACCTACACGCTCCTGGTGCCTTCTGTGAAGCACAATCACAGGCCTACACATCTCCACTCTAACGTCTGCGGCCCGCCCCTCTTTCTACGGCATCCTACAGCTGTCATTGCTTTGAAATACAGACTTCTCGCATTTCCTGCGTCTCACGTGTGCATGTTCAGGAACGTCATGAATGCATATCATGGCCTTCAATCTTCCAGGCGTGTTTGTTCTACTTAGCCTAATCACCCAGTCATCATCACAGCAGGATGATCCCGTCAAAGGATTCTGTCGACGATGGGGC